CGCCCACTAGGGTACTTTAGGAGGTTTCTCCGCGCCTCGTAGACGCGCGTTCGGGAACCATTTCGCGTTTTCCTCTATGGGCGCGCGATGCCAAAGGCGCACATGGCAATTTTACCAGGTTGTTGAAGGTGGACGATGCCCCATGTGGCCATTCTGGGCGTGGGGCTCCCGTGGGGCTCCCGTGGGGCGCGGCGTGCTGCCCGTGGAGCGTTTTTGGATCGTCAGCGTCTTCTGTTGGAGCCGTTTTGGAGAGCTCGCGGGCCGTCTTGAAACAACGGGAGCCCATGGTGCGCAAACGTCAGATGGAAAAGGACGTTCACCCTTTTCCATTGTTACAACGGTGGCTAAGCTGAGGGTACGCTGAGTTTGTTCAACGCCCGTCTCGAGCAAGCACGGGGTTGCTTCGGCGCAATTCGTGAGGCATCTTGGAGGCCATGTTGGTTCAGCTTTCGCGCATTGGTGTGTTTTCGTGCGGTGTCAGCGTCGAATGGCATTCACCTTGGGTGATCAGGGCCACGTTGGACGCCCCGCTTGTCGCGCCCTTTCCCCACGCCCTGGAGTCAGACCGAGGGGGAAGTGACCCCCCTGAAACTACGAAGTTATAGTTGGGGATACACTGGCCCGCTCGACACTTTACGAAGTGAGGCCGCTGGGACCTCGGTGGAGACGTGTTTGGTCATCGGATCACGGAAGCGCGTTGCTTTTTGGGCTCAAGCGAGTGGATATTTGAGCACGCATTTTGCGCGTTCCATCCCTCAGAGACCACGCCGTACGATCATGCGGCGGTGCGCGTCGCCGTGGCCTTGATGCAGGGGCTCGGCGGCGACGAGGAGGCGCCGCAGAGAAAGCGAAAGGCCCAGACAGAAGCGGCCCGCGCACAGGTTCGCATCAACAGAGCCCAGAGGCGCGCCGCACGCGCGGAGGCCGAGGGGGCCGAGGCCAAGGAGGCGCTCGCCATCGTGGCTCACCTGGCCAATGAAGCCAGGGTCGCCCTCCCCATTGAGGGAAAGTTCTCGGATGACGCCGTTGCCAAGTTCACTCAGATGTGGGCCATGCACAGGCTTGCAGCTGGCCCTCGACGACGAGGGCAGATGCTTGTGAGGCAGAACATGGCGGCGCAGTTTCTCAGAGACTGCGCCCTGGCTGTACAGCAGCGCGCATGGGGCGCTATGCTGAGCAAGTCGATAGATTTTCGAGTGGCTCAAGGAGTGGGATCTCGTTCAAGGTCCTCGGCCTTGGCTGTGCGGGAGGATGGGATCGTGTACTCGTTCCTGGGGTGCCGGCTGATGTGGGGCGAGGCGGGGCAGCGATTGCGGTCTTTGGCCAGTAAGTTCTCCCCTGATGGCAAGGCCGTGCGCCAGCTGTTGGCGGGGGGCGCGCAGGCATTGGTTCAAGTTCTTACAGTGGTATGCTTCCTAACTTGCGTCGTTATGAAGATATGTTCGAACGGCTACTTGTCCGTTCAGAGGTGGGGGCCTTGGGTGGCTCCCATTCGGCCAATGGCAGCGACCACTGCGTATGCAATTTTGGAGGCGTTGATCACAGGCATGCCTTTCCACATCGATAGCCCGCAAATGACGCAGCGATTGGGGCAGGCGTGCGACGCACTGATCCTTGTACTCCTGTGCGACTCCGCGTCGTCCAATCTTCGAGCCTTGCGGTACCTCGTCTACCATTGCGCCAAGCACAAGTTTGTGTTGCCGCTGGCCCAGGTATGTTGCGTACACCAGCTCCACATCGTCAAATCCACCGTGATCGACATGAACGGATTAGCGGGAATTCTATACAGCTTGTCCCGCATCATGTCGTCTTCATCGAGCCAACAAGGGTTGAGCGACGGCATGCGAAGGCATGTGTCCGAAAACTCGAAACTCAGCGCCACGCCACTGCCCGCAACAGATTTTCTGGAGATCATACACCGCATCTATGTTGTGACCTTCGGCCCTTCCGCCACCGCGTCTGGGTTGGGGTTGGAGGCCTCGTTTGCCGCTGGGGCTTGTATAGCATGCCTTACGGGTGCCTCTTTTGGCGCGGTGTCGAGGCTCGCTGGCAGCAGTAACTCTTTCTCGTCGGTTTTCTGTTTTTCGTTTGTTTTGGTGGGCTTCTTCGGAGCCAACGTGGGCCGCGCGGGGTCCTTCGGGGCCGCCTGGGGTTTCTTTGGAATTCCTTCTGGGCGCGAGGCTCCGTTTTTTTTTCGGTTGGCGCCCTCCGCCTTGGCCATTTGCGCATTTGCATCAGCCATCCAGAGGCCGCCCGAAGGGACGCGTTCGGGCTTCTCGGGGCATCTCTTTGGCCGTCTGGGCCCGGGCTTTTTGGAATTGTTCGTGGCCTTCTGGGAGAGGATTCTCGGAACCGACTGGGCCGTTTTAGAACGCCAGAGAGCCGAGAGGCCCCGCGGGTTGTCTGGGCGTCGCGTCGCGCGGCTCGGGGCCGTCGCTCTGCGGCTCGGTGCGCTCTTCCGCCGCCGCATAGGCTTCAATGGGCTCCCTTGGTCCGCTTTGGAGCGGCCGTGGCGTCACAGAAAATCTAAGCGACGAGCCGCGGGGGCGTCCCAGGCGGCGCGCGGCGAGCCGCGATGAATTTGACTTTTTTCGGGGTCGCGGCACTTGGACCCCCCTCGGCTGCGAGGTCTGAGGCTCGGGGGATTAAGCGACGCGGCCCGCTGCGCGCCGAGCGCCGACAGCAGTCGGTGGCGGATTACGTTGGCGGTCATTCCGATTATTTGTTTAAGGAACAGGACGACGGCACGAAGGCCCCGACGGCCTTTTACCAGGAGTTGCTGGATTTGAACGAGTGTTGCACATTCACTGAGCGGGGCGAGATGTATTACTGCATGGGCGATCACCCCCTCACGGCCACTGCATCTCTGGTCCGCAAAGAGGCAGTTGCCAATGTTCTCGATGCGTTGCAGAAGATGTTCGTCCAGAGAGTGTGGCATCGAGCTTGCTTATCGCGATGGGCGCACGTGAGCGAGAGCTTGAAGAAGATCTGCACTGGCATCGTCGCTGGTCGAGCCCTCACCTCTGGGTTGGGCCTCACGCGGGCGACCATGGCCCTGGATTCGGCCAAGATCGACGCTGCCCTCGCCAAGGCTGCTGCTGCCGAGGCGGGCGGCGCCGTCGGCGCCCAATGCGATTGGGCGAAAAAGCGGTAAGAGGATATTGAGGGTCAGCGAGTATTTCAGTGATGTTCAGAACCATTGGCGGTTGGGTGTTACACTTTTCACTTCGTCGGTATGCGATCGGCTCCACTATCAAATCATCGGCTACAAGGGCGCGAAGGCCAACCTCACCACAATGGTCGACCCTGCCAAGTCTGTGGTGATCGATGCAATGGAGACTTTCCTGTCTCTGATGTCAGATTTTTCGTTTGGGTCTGGTCGGCCCTGGGCCCTGCTGCGGTGGCTCGACGTTCGCGTGGCGGACCCTGCGACGCTGCATTTGTTTGCTAGGAGGATCTGCTTGAGAACAGCAGGGGGCATTTTCCGACGCCTCGAACTTCGCCTCAGCGGGGCGCACTACATGCTTCAATGGCTCCTCTCCGACGCGACCGACGACGAGGAGAAGGACCTCGCGTGCGCCAGGGCGTTTGCTGTGCCCCCCCATTGCAGACCGTTGTTTTTGACACGGTTGTTGGAACTCTGCCCTTCGCCAGACGCCCTCCGAGGCCCCGTCGGCACGCAGATGGCGCGCGCCTTGGAATCGGCAATCGTATTCACGACGGACGAGGTTGAGCGGGAGAACGCACATGCCAGAAGGGGGTCCGCGCCGGATGGCAGAGGAAAGGCCCGCAACCCTGTCGTCAATAGGGAAATTCTTTACGCTTCGCGTGTCCCCACCAGCCCATCTCACAGCAGCAACTCTTGCGAAACATGCCGGCAGTCGTGTCTTTCAGGCGTGTGTCCGCTTGGCCCCGCATATCTCCCCTGTTCCTCCTTCCCCCCGCCTCCTTGCACATCCTCCTTGGGGGGGGGGGCGGGAGAAGGACGAGGCGGAGGGGGAGGGAGAGACCGCGCTCCTCGTGATTTGAGTCGTTTGGGGTTTCTCGTCTTGGTGTGAGTCGTTCGGGCCCTTCTTCCTGGTGTGAGTCGTTCGGGCTCTTCGTGGTGTGAGTCGTTCGGGCTCTTCGTCCTGGTGTGAGTCGTTCGGGCTTCTCGTGGTGTGAGTTGTTCGGGCCCCTCATCCTGGTGTGAGTCGTTCGGGCCCCTCCTCCTGGTGTGACTCGTTCGGGCTCCTCGTGGTGTGAGTCGTTCGGGGCCCGCGTCGTGGTGTGAGTCGTTCGGGCTCCTCGTGGTGTGAGTCGTTCGGGCGCCTCGTCCTGGTGTGAGTCGTTCGGGCCCCTCCTTGTGGTGTGAGTCGTTCGGGCTGCGTGGTGTGAGTCGTTCGGGCCCCTCGTCCTGGTGTGAGTCGTTCGGGCTCCTCGTGGGGCCTCTTGGGGGCCTCTTGGAGCCTCTTGGGGCCTCTTGGGGGCTTCTTGGGGGCCTCTTGGGGGCCTCTTCCTCTTGGGGCCTCTTGGGGCCTCTTGGGGGCCTCTTGGAAGCCTCTTGGAGGTCTCTTGGGGCCTCTTGGGGGCTTCTTGGGGGCCTCTTGGAGGCCTCTTGGGGGGCTCCTGGGGGCCTCTTGGGGCCATCTTGGGGCCTCTTGCGACCTCCTCTGAAGCGCAAAGGAGCGCTGCCCCTTGAGAAGGACAAAATGAACCCAACACCTTCGTAAAATGAATGGTTCTGCTATGAAGGAAGATGAGCGCGGCCCCCTCAGGACGCCAAAATGGGGCCAAAACCGTAGTAAAATCAATGATGTTTGCTTCAAAGACGAGCAGAGGGGCCAAACTCCCCCCCCCCCTCGGGGCCAGAATCCTCGTGAGGGTCTTCGTTTTTTGGCCCTCCCAGGAGTCGAAAAAGGCCCCCCTGACCCCACCCCGGACTCCCTGCCCAGGCCCAGGGGGAGGGGGTAGGGGGAGGGGGAAGAAGGGGGGTTGAGGACAGAGCGGGCTCTCTAAACCACTCACGCCCAAAGGGCTGGTGGGATTTGCCGAAAGGTGCGTGAGTACCACATGCAGCGAGGCGGCGACGATCCCAGCGCGGGTTTGGCTTGCCCGTCTGTCGTCCGCACAGTTCGCAGCACGGACTCGTCTTTCTTGGGCGCTCCCCTCGCGGACGACGAGGGCGGTCGCCGATGCCCAACGGCTGCGGCTGGCTCTGACGCAAATCGCCGAGCAGGTCGCCTGCGGAGCAAGCGGGGCAATCCGATGTTCACTTACATAAACCACAGGATGGCGTCCATCACTGAACACCTCACGAAGAGACAGTGGGCAAATCGCAGGAAGTCGTTTCGGGATAAGTACAGGGCCTTACCTGACAGAGAGAAGGCGCGTTGGAATACAATTTTTCAGAGCGGGCGGGATATCCAGGCAAAATCATGGCGCCCTTCGGCTCTCCACGACGCAGCGCCTGAACAGACATCGGCGGCAGCTGGCGCGACAGGAGGCCTTAGCAAACAAGCGACCAATCGAGTTCACAGCCATTTGGGGAGGTTCGCTTGACGGAACACTTGCGGTTCAGCAAAGCCCGTGCATGCCTTTTTCGGAGCAGGCCATGCTTGAGACTTTCCGAGACAAGTACCAGTCTTCGATTTCTCGTCTGAGGGGCAGTTCCGGGGGCAGCAGTCCGCATGCGATTTCAGTGGAGGTGCCCGATCGGTGCGCCGTGCTCGGCACAGATGCCCGCGCCGTGGCAGTTGATGCGCGGCTCTTATGGGGGTGCGCTGGGTGTTTGCAGAATGTCTGCGCACTGGAAAAGACCCAGGAGTTTCGTAACATCACGTGTGCTTTGTCGAAGTGGGTGGACGCGCCATCGAAAGAGAGACGAGAAAGTGCGGACGAAGTCCTATGCTTAGTCGGCGGCGACTCGGGGCCGCACCCCCGTCTGCCATTAGACGTCGTGCACGTGATGTTGGGCCCCGCTCTGATGAGCCCGAAGGTTCAGACGTATGTACTATGCTTGGTGGACGGAGCCGAGTCGATTGATTTCAAGATGGGCCGGCTTCGTCGCTTGCCGTGCGATTTGCATTTGGGCACCGTGGACAACAGGTTGTGCAGGGGATTTCGGCGACCTCGTACGTCTCTGGCATTCAGGGCCAGCGACGAGTTGGCGGACCTCTTGGTGAAGTGTCGCCGCGGTGACTGGGTTGCAAGGCCAGTCCAACAACACATTCGGACTGATGCGCGGACGCTCTTGGCCATGACGACGACGGGTTTCGGAGATGAGTTCGCTTTGTCCACGGTCGCCAGTGGAGTTCCAGCTAAAAAGAAAAATCCCGCGCATGATGTGCCAGACGTCGTCCTGGCCGCATGCGCGCAGCGTCGCGAGCGCTCCGAGACAGCGGGGTTCCGCGCTGCTGCGACGTCGGCGTCATCTCCACCTGCACATGCGCCAGGCGCCTCGGCAACCCAGCCGACTGGATCGTTGCCAGAGCTTGCTGCCCTCGAGGACGAGTTCGCCCAGGGCATCGCTGACGTGGAGCCACCTGAGCTCGACATCGGCAGCGCCATCGTCGAGGACATAGAGGCTGTCATCTTTTCTGGCGATGGCGCCTTGATCGACGAACCTGCCGATGGCAACGGGCACGTTCAGGACCGACGGGACAACTTCGAAAGCCTGTCATGGGGGCGTGGGGCGCCATCGCCACCGATCCCGCGCTAAGCGTTTCGATGTTGTTTAGTGGTGTCATCCGTGGACACCACGTCAAAATCGCCAGATGGACCGATGGTGGCATCGATGGTGTGATCGATCATCCGAACAGTTGTAGGATTGGTCTTGGCATCGGTATCGAGATCGACTGTGAGCTCGATTCGGGGCTCGGTTGCGTGCCCGATTATCATGCCTAAACGGATTTTGAAATGGATGGTTGCGTCGGTCGATTGAGATCTGTCGTGAGATGGTAGCGTGAACAATCAGGCAAACACCAGTGGCATTGGTAACATGTTACGATACGTGGTCGGTTGTGAGAGCCACAAAACATGCGATAGTAGGACAGATGTTGCGGTCGATCGAGCGAACGGTCGGTAAATCCGATCGCGGAAATCAGCCCGATGCGTGACCGAATCCATTCCGAGACACGATTGAAAGCGCAATTTTTGCAACACATCACATATGCAAGGCAGGATCGTCGATTACGCGAATGGGCGGGGACACCATTCGGGGCGAAAAGGCGGCATGTGATAAGCTGAGATAGTGGTATCGGCAAGAGAGTTTTTTGTTCGCGGACTCAATCGGATGTGCTAAGCCCGTGCCCAACGCGAAGCCCCATGAGGACCCCCCCGAGCCCCACGGGAGCCCCACGGGAGCCCCACGGGAGCCCCACGCAAACCCCATGCGAGCGCCACGCCGGCCGCCAGCCCCACGCCAGCCCCACGCCAGCCCCGCGCCAGCCCCACGCCGACCCCGCGCCAGCCCCACGCCAGCCTCGCGCGAGCCCCACGTGAGCCCCACGGGAGCCCCACGCGAACCCCATGCGAGCCCCACGCCAGCCCCACGCCAGCCCCACGCCAGCCCCACGCCAACCCCACGCCAGCTCCATACCAGCCCTATGCCAGCCCCACGAGAGCCCCACGCGAGCCCCACGCGAGCCCCACAGGAACCCCACGGGAACCCCACGCGAGCCCCACGGGAGCCCCACGCAACCCCCACGCCAAATCTTGCGAAATCCCCCGTGGAGCCCCACGCAAAGCATCGTTCGAGCTTCACGGGGGCTCCACGAGGGGAGGGTCACGGGAACCCCGCGCGAGCCCCACGGGATCTCCAAAACGATCCCACCGGGGCTTCGCAAGAGTCCCACGCTCAGCCCCGCCAAAGGTCGCGCCATCCCCACACGAGCCCCACGGGAGCTCCACGCGAGCCCTTCAACTGCCCAACGCCGAACCCCATGAGATCCCCACGGGAACTGACAGGAGCCCCACGGGCATCCGACGAAGGCTCTACGCGAACCCCACAGGAACTTCACGGCGGCACCGCGCGATCCCCATTCGAGCCCTTCGCAAGCCCCACGCGGGGCACGCGCGAGAGGGCAAGGATACTGAGGCAAGGGGGACGACGATTTTCAGAACGAAGGCCGTGACGATAAAGATTTGGATGATAATGTTGATGATGATGATGATGATGATGATGATGATGATGATGATGATGATGAGGATGAGGATGAGGATGAGGATGAGGATGAGGATGAGGATGAGGATGAGGATGAGGATGAGGATGAGGATGATGAGGATGAGGATGAGGATGAGGATGAGGATGAGGATGAGGATGAGGATGAGGATGAGGATGAGGATGAGGATGAGGATGAGGATGAGGATGAGGATGAGGATGAGGATGACGATGAGGAGGAGGAGGAGCAGCAGCAGCAGGAGGAGGAACATGAGCAGGAGCAGGAGCTGCGGCAGGAGCAGGAGCAGGAGCGGGAGCAGGAGCAGAGGGACGAGGAGAAAAATGAGGAGGAGGAGGAGCAGGAGGAGGAGGAGGAGGCGGAGGATACGGTGGAGGAGGGGGAGGAGGAGGATGGGTCCAGATGACGATGCCGTCCAGAGGCCGAACGAAATCTCCTGATGGGCTCCTTGGCAGATCCCGTAGCAATTGCATTAGTGTAGCGTCACGAATGCCAACCGCTGAAGTATCTCAAGCGGCGTCTCGCTTTTCTTGTTCGCCTGCGGCCCTCAAGCGTGTTGTCAAACTGAGATCGTGAGTGCCCAGGCGAGGGCGATGGGCAGAGGGAGAAGGATAGGGAGGGGGAGGAGGATGAGGGAGGAGGAGGAGAAGGAGGAGAAGGAGGAGGAGGAGGAGGAACACGAGGAAGAGGGAGGATCCTGAAGGAGGGGACGAAGACGAGGATGCGGGAGGAGGAGGGACAAGTATGAGGAAAAAGGGAGGATGATGAAGGAGGATGGGGAAGACGGAGACGATGAGGGAGGAGGAAGATGAGGAGGAGAAGGAGGAGGAGGAGGGGGAGGACGAGGAGGAGGAGGAGGAGGAAGAGGAGGAGGAGGAGGAGGCGGAAGAGGAGGAGGAGGAGGAGGAGGAGGGAGGTGGTGGAGGAGGGGAGGAGGAGGGGGAGGGGAAGGAGGAGGAGGAGGAGGAGGAGGAGGAGACGAGGAGGAGGACGCGGCAAAGGAGGAGGGGAGGGGGAGGACGAGGACGATGAAATGAGGAAGGAGGAAGAGGAGAGAGGAGGATGAAGAGGAGAAGGAGGAGGAGGAGGAGGAGAAGGATGGAAAGAGAAAGCAGAGGAGGATTGGGAGGAGGAGGATGGAGGAGGAGGAGGAGGAGGAGGAGGAGGACGACGAGGAAGAGGAGGAAGGCGAGGAGGAGGAGGAGGAGGAGGAGGATGAGGAGGTTGAGGGAAAGGAAGACGTGGAGGGGAATGGGAGGACACCAGTGGATTGGATGATCAAGGGGAGGGTAAGGGAACAAGGGAAGAAGCGGAGGAAGGAGGATTAAACACAGAGTTCTTCAATAATGGAGGCTTGGATGGACGAGGAGTAAGAAGAGGAGGGATATGATGTGAGGCAGGAGGAGGAATACGAGGAGGGAGGAGTAGGAAGATAAGTGGGACAATGCGTGACAGGTGATGGTCAGCATGTGGCCGGGGGGAGGGGAGGGAAAATAGGACCACGTAGGAATGGGAGGAGGAGGGCGAGGATGAGGAGGAGCAGGACGATGACCAGGGGGGCGCGAATGAGAGGACAAAGATGGGTGGGGAAGAGGGCACGTACTCAGGCGAATAAGGAAGACGTGTGACCGTCGGGCTTTGTAGGGACGGGGGGGGGGCGCAAACGCTTAAAGGGTCCCCTGCAACCGCCCACTTACCACCGAAAATTGTAGAGAGGCCACTCCTGCCTCCTCTCCTCCATCCGTTGCCATTTCGTGCTCAGGACTCAAGACGGCCACGCGCCTTAGTTGGCGATGGCCGAAGTGCCCGACGCGGCGCCAAAACGTAAGCACCGCCGCACCGGCGGTGCGGATGTGGCAATTGAATGGTCCCCTTTTTTACGTTTGGAGCAGGTTTGGTTTGACGACCTGCGGGAGCTGTGCCGCCAGCGTGGGCTCACCGTTCGCGGGACCCGCGCAGAGCTCGTAGAGCGGCTGGACTCCCATGGCGAACCCTTTCGGGAGTCATGGGAGCGCGGCGCAATGACTTCAGAATCTGGGAACGTCTTGTTGCTTGAATGGGGAGCCGTCGACGACGTCGCTGTACAGGAGGCTCTGGCATCCACCGTCGACGTACCATGCTTCGCACAGCCCCTGCATGCTTACATTTCAACATTTCCACCATGCCCGCCACCGGCCTTCTGGGAGGGAGCGGTTGGGCATGAGCTGTATAAGCATTTACGTGAACAGTGCGGCCAGGGCCAGTGGATCTGGCGCTTGACGGCAAGGCGAGATGTTGTCACGTTGCAGAATGTTTTCCCTCTCCTGAGGCAGAAGGGCTTTAGCGTTGCTCTTGCTCTCGTTCTCTGCGGTTTCCTACACATTCTATACTGGCACCAAAGTATTTCGGTTGCCCTGGCCCTGATCTTGGCCCACCCAGCGATTTGCCCAACCAGCGTGGCGCAGGTTGACGTGGAAGCGTGGGCGGAGGCCATACAGGCGATCATGGCTCAGGTGTCAGGAGCCTTCAAAGACCTGCGTGTGGTGCGCGGGCAATTGGTGCAGAAGCCCGCCGTGAAGGGGACGGGCGCGAAGCTGGCTGTCAGAAATCCTTCTTGCTGGAACAGAAGTAGCGATGCCGACGTGAAGCTATTCGCTGCAGATTTTCGTTCAGGAGCGATTACGGGATCTTGCAACGAACTCGCCAGCATGCTCCTGGAGGGGCGGTTCGACTACGGCAGCGCTCTCAGCATTCTTCGGGGCAAGACAAATACTTATTACACGGGGCTCACCAAGTCGTATATATCAGTCCATTATTTGCGGTGCATGCGGGTCGCCGTGGGCGCCCCCGCGCCGCCCTGCCCCGCCGACTTCAAGATCCTTCTCGGCATGGGCGCGGGCGTCCGCCGCTGGGGCTGGCCAGGTGAACAGGCCGCGGAGGCTGTTGGTGTGATCAAGTCGCACGACCCTTCGTCTGATTACCAGATGGACGACCTTGCTTGCTTCATGTGCATGTCGGGCTCTTGAAGTCTCCCGTTGCCCCCGCTGAAAACGCCGCGGGCGCCACAATCGTCACCGAGTAGGAAAGGCGCACTTCTTGGCTTCTGGGGAAGAAGGGGATTCTGAGAAATGAGAGCGCGCCCCCTTCCGCCAGAGGTTTTCGCCGGGGCGGCCGTGAAACCAGAGGCACAGCGGTTTTTTATAAAAATTACCCTGGCGACGTACCCAACCCCTGCGCAAAAGCGGGGCGCAAATAGTTTAGGATACTTTGCAAGGGGGCGATGACGGAGCGAGGGTTACATATGTCTGCAGACGGAATTCGGGAGACTCGCAGGACACTGGCTACAGGAAAAGGGCTTGATAAAGCTGATAATTTACAATTCCTGAGCACTCCTGGCCACTTCGAAAACGGGGATCACAGCAGGTCTCGAAAGTGGCGACAGGTTCACAGATCGCAGCCCCGCAGGGATGGCGAGGTCTCATTTGAATCTGCCCGTGGCCCTCACTGTGCTGGGCCCCCCAGCAGGCCTCGAAAATGGCGACAGTTTCGCAGATCGCAGCCCCCCAGGGATGGCGAGGTCTAATTTGAATCTGCGCGTGGCCCTCACTGTGCTGGCCCCCCAGCAGGCCTCGAAAATGGCGACAGTTTCGCAGATCGCAGCCCCCCAGGGATGGCGATGTCTAATTTGAATCCGCGGCGATTACCCTCACTGTGCTGGGCCCCCCAGCAGGCCTCGAAAATGGCGACAGTTTCACAGATCGCAGCCCCCCAGGGATGGCGAGGTCTAATTTGAATCTGCGCGTGGCCCTCACTGTGCTGGGCCCCCCAGCAGGCCTCGAAAATGGCGACAGTTTCGCAGATCGCAGCCCCCCAGGGATGGCGAGGTCTAATTTGAATCCGCCCGTGGCCCTCACTGTGCTGGCCCCCCAGCAGGGCTCGAAAATGGCGACAGTTTCACAGATCGCAGCCCCCAGGGATGGCGAGGTCTAATCTGAATCCGCCCGTGGCCCTCACTGTGCTGGCCCCCCCCCCCCCACCCACCGGGGGGGGCCCCCCAGCAGGCCTCGAAAGTGGCGACAGTTTCACAGATCGCAGCCCCCCAGGGATGGCGAGGTCGAATTTGAATCCGCGGTGTGTACCCACTGTGCTGGGCCCCCCAGCAGGCCTCGAAAGTGGCGACAGTTTCACAGATCGCAGCCCCCCCAGAGATGGCGAGGTCTAATTTAAATCCGCGCGTGGCCCTCACTGTGCTGGGCCCCCCAGCAGGCCTCGAAAGTGGCGACAGTTTCACAGATCGCAGCCCCCCCAGAGATGGCGAGGTCTAATTTGAATCCGCGCGTGGCCCTCACTGTGCTGGGCCCCCCAGCAGGCCTCGAAAATGGCGACAGTTTCACAGATCGCAGCCCCCCCCCAGGGAGGGCGAGGTCTAATTTGAATCCGCGCGTGGCCCTCACTGTGCTGGGCCCCCCAGCAGGCCGGCCTCGAAAATGGCGGCAGTTTCGCAGATCGCAGCCCCCCAGGGATGGCGAGGTCTAATTTGAATCCGCGCGTGGCCCTCACTGTGCTGGGCCCCCCAGCAGGCCTCGAAAATGTCGACAGTTTCGCAGATCGCAGCCCCCCAGGGATGGCGAAGTCTAATTTGAATCCGCGCGTGGCCCTCACTGTGCTGGGCCCCCCAGCAGGCCGGCCTCGAAAATGGCGACAGTTTCGCAGATCGCAGCCCCCCAGGGATGGCGAGGTCTAATTTGAATCTGCGCGTGGCCCTCACTGTGCTGGGCCCCCCAGCAGGCTTCGAAAATGGCGACAGTTTCGCAGATCGCAGCCCCCCAGGGATGGCGAGGTCTAATTTGAATCAGCGCGTGGCCCTCACTGTGCTGGGCCCCCCAGCATGCCTCGAAAATGGCGACAGTTTCGCAGATCGCAGCCCCCCAGGGATGGCGAGGTCTAATTTGAATCCGCGCGTGGCCCTCACTGTGCTGGGCCCCCCAGCAGGCCTCGAAAATGGCGACAGTTTCGCAGATCGCAGCCCCCCAGGGATGGCGAGGTCTAATTTGAATCCGCCCGTGGCCCTCACTGTGCTGGCCCCCCAGCAGGGCTCGAAAATGGCGACAGTTTCACAGATCGCAGCCCCCCAGGGATGGCGAGGTCTAATTTGGATCCGCCCGTGGCCCTCACTGTGCTGGGCCCCCCAGCAGGCCTCGAAAATTGCGACAGTTTCACAGATCGCAGCCTCCCGCGGGCAAGACAGGAAGAGGCGGGAGGGGAAAAGGAGGAAGGGAGGGAGGAGGGAGGCGGGAGAAGGGGCGCGACCACACTGCTCTATTCAAAACGAATACCCAACCAAGGAGGGTTGGGGAAAATCACACCCTGGCGACGTACCCAACCCCTGCGCAAAAGCGGGGCGCAAATAGTTTAGGATACTTTATAAGGGGGCGATGACGGAGCGAGGGTTACATATGTCTGCAGACGGAATTCGGGAGACTCGCAGGACACTGGCTACAGGAAAAAGGCGTGATAAAGCTGATGATTTACAATTCCTGAGCACTCCTAGCCACTTCGAAAACGGGGATCACAGCAGGCCTCGAAAGTGGCGACAGTTTCGCAGATCGCAGCCCCGCAGGGATGGCGAGGTCTCATTTGAATCTGCCCGTGCCCTCACTGTGCTGGGCCCCCCAGCAGGCCTCGAAAATGGCGGCAGTTTCGCAGATCGCAGCCCCCCAGGGATGGCGAGGTCTAATTTGAATCCGCGCGTGGCCCTCACTGTGCTGGGCCCCCCAGCAGGCCTCGAAAATGGCGACAGTTTCGCAGATCGCAGCCCCCCAGGGATGGCGAGGTCTAATTTGAATCTGCGCGTGGCCCTCGCTGTGCTGGGCCCCCCAGCAGGCCTCGAAAATGGCGACAGTTTCGCAGATCGCAGCCCCCCAGGGATGGCGAGGTCTAATTTGAATCCGCGCGTGGCCCTCACTGTGCTGGGCCCCCCAGCAGGCCTCGAAAATGGCGACAGTTTCGCAGATCGCAGCCCCCCAGGGATGGCGAGGTTTAGTTTCTGTGCTGGGCCCCCCAGCAGGCCTCGAAAATGGCGACAGTTTCGCAGATCGCAGCCCCCCAGGGATGGCGAGGTCTAATTTGAATCCGCGCGTGGCCCTCACTGTGCTGGGCCCCCCAGCAGGCCTCGAAAATGGCGACAGTTTCGCAGATCGCAGCCCCCCAGGGATGGCGAGGTCTAATTTGAATCCGCGCGTGGCCCTCACTGTGCTGGGCCCCCCCAGCAGGCCTCGAAAGTGGCGACAGTTTCGCAGATCGCAGCTCCCCAGGGATGGCGAGGTCTAATTTGAATCCGCCCGTGGCCCTCACTGTGCTGGCCCCCCAGCAGGGCTCGCAAATGGCGACAGTTCCACAGATCGCAGCCCCCCAGGGATGGCGAGGTCGAATTTGGATCCGCCCGTGGCCCTCACTGTGCTGGGCCCCCCAGCAGGCCTCGAAAGTGGCGACAGTTTCACAGATCGCAGCCCTCCGCAGGCAAAACAGGAGGAGGCAGGCAGGAGGCAGGAGGGAGGCGGGAGGAGACGCGACCACACTGCTCTATTCAAAACGAATACCCAACCAAGGAGGGTTGGGAAAAAAATAGCCTGGCGAAGGACCCAACCATATGCAGTTGAGAGTACCGCAATTGTGAATATTTTCTTCGGTGGCGCTCCCTATGGGGCCACGAGCCGTATGAGGGGTGTGCCGAAATGCGTGGCAGTGTACACAACACGAACGAAGACGATAGGTCCGAATATGAAAGCTTGAGCGCGTGCGAGTCGGATCGCGAGCGAGTCTGATTATGAATGAATCTGCGCGCGATTGATTCTATTCGCATGAATGCGTGCATGGATACGCCCAGTGTAAATGTATGTATACGACTGTGAACAGTTTGGGTCTGCGTGACTCTCGGTACTCGTGACTCTGAGCGTCGCCTCTGCAGGGGGCTTCCCTGGGAACCCCGACGGCAGCGCCCGCGCGCCGCGACGCCCATGTCGGCACGCCACACACCTGGTGTGCGGGACGCATGCGGACGGCAGCACTGGGGCCTTCGGTGGAGCTCCCTGTGGGGCCACGAAACGTGTGAGGGGTGTGCCGAAATGGGTGTGCGGGACGCATGCGGACGGCAGCCATGGGGCCTTCGGTGGAGCTCCCTATGGGGCCACGAAACGTGTGAGGGGTGTGCCGAAATGGGTGTGCGGGACGCATGCGGGCGGCAGCACTGGGCCTTCGGTGGAGCTCCCTATGGGGCCACGAAACGTGTGAAGGGTGTGCCGAAATGGGTGTGCGGGACGCATGCGGACGGCACCCATGGGCCTTCGGTGGAGCTCCCTATGGGGCCACGAAACGTGTGAGGGGTGTGCCGAAATGGGTGTGCGGGACGCATGCGGACGGCAGCACCGGGGCCTTCGGTGGAGCTCCCTGTGGGGCCACGAAACGTGTGAGGGGTGTGCCGAAATGGGTGTGCGGGACGCATGCGGACGGCAGCACTGGGGCCTTCGGTGGAGCTCCCTGTGGGGCCACGAAACGTGTGAGGGGTGTGCCGAAATGGGTGTGCGGGACGCATGCGGACGGCAGCCATGGGGCCTTCGGTGGAGCTCCCTGTGGGGCCACGAAACGTGTGAGGGGTGTGCCGAAATGGGTGTGCGGGACGCATGCGGACGGCAGCACTGGGGCCTTCGGTGGAGCTCCCTATGGGGCCACGAAACGTGTGAGGGGTGTGCCGAAATGGGTGTGCGGGACGCATGCGGACGGCAGCACTGGGGCCTTCGGTGGAGCTCCCTGTGGGGCCACGAAACGTGTGAGGGGTGTGCCGAAATGGGTGTGCGGGACGCATGCGGACGGCAGCCATGGGGCCTTCGGTGGAGCTATGGGGCCACGAAACGTGTGAGGGGTGTGCCTGCGGGACGCATGCGGACGGCAGCATGGGGCCTTCGGTGGAGCTCCCTATGGGGCCACGAAACGTGTGAGGGGTGTGCCGAAATGGGTGTGCGGGACGCATGCGGACGGCAGCACTGGGGCCTTCGGTGGAGCTCCCTGTGGGGCCACGAAACGTGTGAGGGGTGTGCCGAAATGGGTGTGCGGGACGCATGCGGACGGCAGCCATGGGGCCTTCGGTGGAGCTCCCTATGGGGCCACGAAACGTGTGAGGGGTGTGCCGAAATGGGTGTGCGGGACGCATGCGGACGGCAGCGGAAAGGAGG